CTCAAATAAAAAACCTAATGCTGAACCTCAACTTCTAGAAAAAAAAAAAAAAAAGAGCAGGATAAACCCAAAGCTAATACAATGGAGGGAATTCTAAAGATCAGAGCAGAAATTAATGCAATGTAAATTGAGAACAATAAAAAATCAGTAAAGCAAAGAGTTGTTTCTTCAAAAGAATAAACAAATTTGACAAGTCAACCTTGTCAAAAAAAAGTAGAGAAGGCCCAAATCCATGCAATTAGTAATGAAAAGGATAAAATTACAATGGACAGAGCAGAAATCTAGAGGATCATTCATAGAAGAACAATTGTGACTACTGTTTAAAATCTTCAATCAAATTGAAAGGGAAGCAATATTCCCAAATTCATTCTTGGAAACAAGCACCAACTTGATCCAAACAGAGAAAGACCCAATTGAAAATGAGAACTAGAGGCCAATCTCACTAACGAATATAGATGCAAAAATCTTTAATAAGATACTGGTAAACAGAGTGCAGAAGACCATCATGAAGTTCATACACCCTGACCAAGTGGCATTTATCCCAGGGATGCAGGGATGGTTCAACATACACAAATCAATAAATATAATACTCTATATTCATAGACTCAAGGACAAAAATCATATGATTATATCAATAGATGCAGAAAAAGAATGCAACAAAATCAAACACCCATTTATGATAAAAACTCTACAGAACATTGGAATACATGGTTTCTACCTCATCCTGATAAAAACCATCTATGACAAACCAACAGCCAACATCATATTAAGTAGTCAAAACTGAAATGCTTCTGCTAAAATCAGGAACAAGAAATGGATACCAACTATCACCACTCCTGTTCAATATATTTTTGGAAACATTAGCCAGAGACAAGAGAAAGAAATTAAAGGAATAAAGATAGGAAATGAAGAATTTCAATTTTCACTATTTGCAGATGAAAGGATAATTTATATAGAAGACACCAAGAACTCCACCAAAAGTCTTCTGGACTTAATAATCAAATTCAGTAGAGTAACTGGATACAAGGTGAACACACAAAAATGCATAGCTTTGCTGTACATGAACAATAGACTCACTGATAGAGGAACTAGAAAAACAAATCTTTTTTTTTTTTCCTCATTGAGTTTCTTGGTATTTTTTAAGTACACAATACAGTTACATTCATCATTGGGATCTTGTACCTTTACATGACAGATTTTGGTTCTCATTTTTCCCCATACCCCTGCCCTTCCTTCACCCCCTCCACCTGTCCCTATTTACAAAAACTTTGTTTCCAATTTTTCATTTTCTCATATTTTTCTTTTACCTTATTTCCTTTCCCCTACCCTTCCCACTTCCACTACATGTTTAGCCCTTTCCTTCCTATTTCACATTGTCAATTATAGGATTTGGATCTTATTTACACTTTTAGGTTTTTACACCAGAGATACTATTTGGTATTTACATGTGTGTCTTATTTCAGTTAAGAGTATGGCCTCAATATGCCTCCATTTTCCTATGAATGACTCTAGTTTCTCATTCTTTATGGCTGAGTAGTACTCCATTTTATAGAAAAACCATATCTTCCTTATCCAGTTTCCAACTGATGGGCAAATGGGCTGTTTTAGCTATTAAAAACTGTGCTGCTATAAACATGGTTGCACAAATATCACTATTGTATGATTCTTTTAATTTTTTTAGAAAGATATCCAGCAGAGGGATAGTTGAGTCAAATGGAAACTCTAATCTGAGTTCTTTGAGGTATCTCCATATTGATTTCCAAAGTGATTGCACCAGTCTACACTCCCACCAACAATGGAGAAGGGTTCCTTTCTCCCAACAACCCCACCAAAATTTGTTACTGGTTGATTTCTTGATAGTAACCATTCTTTCTGGCCTGATGTGGAATCTCAGTGTTGTTTTCATCTGCATCTCTTGAATGACATGGAACATTTTCTTCACATATTTATTTGCTGCTTTTACTTGTTTGAGAAATGTCTGTTCATTTCAGATGCCCATTTCTGAATCGGGTCTTTATATTTGGGGGAGTCTGATTTCTTTTTTTTGCATTCTTTATATATTCTAGATAATAGTCCTTTGAGAAGCAGCTGGTAAAATTTTTTTTCCACATGGTAGGATGTCTCTTACCTCTCTTGGTGGTTTCTTTTGTTGTGCAGAAGCTTTTAAATGAGATGAGATTCCAGTTGTTGACTCTTTCTGCTAGTTCCCATGCTACTGAGGATTTGTTCATAAAGTCTTTTCCCATGCCAATGTCTTCAAGAGTTCTGCCTAACTTATCTTCCAGCAAGTTTAGTGTTTCTGTTTTAATATTTAGATCTTTAATCTACTTGGATTTTAGTTTAGTGCATGTTGAAAGATAAGGGTCTAGTTTTAATCTTCGGCAGATTGAAATCCAGTTTTTCCAACACAATTTATCAAAGAGGCTATCTTTCCTCCAGAGGAAATATTGTTTTCACAATAACCTACACAGAAATGAAATTCCTATGACTCAACCTAATGAAATAAATCATTACCTCTTCTCTGAAAACTATAGCACTCTGAGAAAACAGAGCAAAGAAGATGTCAGAAAATGGAAAGATACCTCTTGTTCTTGGGTAGAAGAATGAATACAGTGAAAATGGCCATACTTTCAAAACTGCTATATAGATTCAGTGCTATCACAATTAAAATTCCAGAAATATTCTTCACAGATATTAAGAAAACAATCCCAAAATGTATTTGGAAAAAGAAGAGATCTAGAATAGAAAAAGCTTTCTAGGCAACAAAGATGAGGCATGGGGGTATCACAATTCCCAACTTGAAACTATACTACAAAGGTACTGCGGTCTAAAAAAAACAAAAACAAAAACAAACAAAAAAACAGCATGGTACTGGCAAAGAAACAGACTGAAGGACCAGTGGAACAGATTAGAAGATGTAGAAACAACTCCAGACCTATTCTTTCATCTATTCTTTAACAAGGACGCCAAACACCCTCACTGGCAGAAAGACAGCCTCTTTAATAAATGGTGCTCGAAAAACTGAGTTTCAACTTGTCAAAGATTGAAACTAGACCTATATCTCTCACCACTAATAAACTAAAATTGAAACGGTTCAAACATCTGGAAATTAAAACAGAAACACTAAATTGGCTGGAAGAGTGGTTAGGTAGATATCTTGAAAACATTAGCATAGGAAAGGATTTCATGAAGAAAACCTCAGCCACACATAAACTACCACAACGTATGAACAACTGGGATTTCATCTTATTAATAAGCTTTTGCACGTCCAGAGAAACCACCAAAAGAGTGAAGAGACAACATACAATGCGGGAAAAAAATTTTACCAGCTGTTCCTCAGCAAAGGTCTACTATCTAGAATATATAAAGAACTTAAAAAAAAAAAACCCAACCCCTCAAATTTAAATGCCCAACCCAAAAATAGGCATGTGAAATTAACAGACATTTCTCAGACAAAGAAATACAAACAGCAAGTAAATATATGAACAGATGTTCAAAATTACTGGTCATTTAAGAGATGCAATTGAAAACAACACTGAGATTCTACCTCACTCCAGAAAGAATGGCTGCTATCAAGAAATCAACCAAAAACAAATGCTGATGGGGTTGTGGAGAAAAAGAAATCCTTCTCCACTGTTGGTGGGCATGTAAAATGGTGCAACCATTGTTGAAACCAGTATGGAGATACTTCAAAAATGATTAGAGGTCCCATTTAACCCAGCTATTTCGCTACTTGGTATCTTCCCAAATAAATTAAAAGAATCATCCACATATGATATACATAAAATATATGTGCACCCATGGTCATAGCAGCAGAGTTTGTAATAGCTAAAATTTTGAAACAGCTCAATTGCCCATCAGCTGTAGACTGGATAAAGAAAATGAGTTTTTCCTATAAAATGGAGTACTACTCAGCCATAAAGAGTGAAAATCTCGAGACATTTATAGTGAAATGGATGCCCATTGTGGCCATACTCTTAAGTGAAATAAATACAACACTCATGTGTAAATTCTGAATAGTTTCTCTGGTATAAAAAACTGAAGGTGTAAATAAGGACCAAAATGTATAATAGATAATGTGAAATAGGAAGAAAAGATCCAAATGGGAAGGGGAAGTGGGAGGGTAGGGGAAAGGAAAGAAGGAAAGGGATTAAATATGAGAATATAAAAATCCTTCTTAATTATAGATAAAACTTACTTTAAAAGACATAGCATGGATTGCTGTATTTGAATATCAAAATTATTTCACCAGTTTTAGATAAGACAGTATTTATTGAAGTTAATAAAAAATACTATACTTTAGACTTTTGTAATCTTTCAGGCTGCCTACTCCCTGGATAGCCTGAAAAATCTGCTGCATACATCAAGGACACAAGAATTTGTGCTGTTTCTGCTCTATATTATGCACTTATTATGCCATTTCTGCTCTATATTATGCACTTATTCTTTGATGCATCATTAAAACAATGAAACTATGACTGAAACTGTTAAAGTTCTTTTTAAAAAATACTTTACTGAGTTACTGTTGTCATATAAAGATCATCATATATTTCCTCTTTTGTACATTTCTGTGAGTTCAGTGGTAAGTATATACCTAAGATGCCATCAAATCCATCAAGACCTTGAACAAATCTATCACCTCACAGCATTCCCACTCCTTTTTGTCATTATTATTGTCTTGTTTTAGTATTTATATGAGTATTCCCTTATCAATTTTAAGTAATCGTGCAGATTGTTAGTTATAACTCCTGTGCTTTGTAGATCTCCAGAATTTATTTATCTTGCATAACTGAAACATTGTACTTATTTGTTATCATTTTCTCATTTCCTGCCTCCTCTCCCAGGCCATTGTTCACATGTGTGGACCTGTAGGACATATGTCATGTTAAATAAGACAGCCACAGGAATTTAAATACTATATGATCTCACCTATAAAAAATATAAAGGGTCAAAATAATAGAATCAGGTAATAGTGAGGAGAGGAATGTGAAGACATAAACATGCCAGTGCCCTGTCTCCTGCCATATGATGAGCTGTGCTGCGTTGAGACTCTGGCAGCAAGAAGGCCATCTCTAGATTTACCCCCTCTACCTTCTATGTTCAGAACTGTGAATCAAAAGAAAACTGTTTCCTTTATGACTGTCCCAGGCTTTGATATTGTATTGTTAGCAAAAGAAAATGGACTTTTCCAGAAAATTGGTGGCAAGAGTGAAATTGCTGCTATTACCTATTTTGGAGAGTTGATGGGGCCCAACCTCATCTATCTATGTAGAGGGAAGAAGGAACTGAGACAGAGATTTGGACTGGCAATTGCTACAGACTTTCAGGTCAGCACAGAACTACCAAGCTATCAGCTCCAGCTTCAGCTTTCTATCTAAGAAAGAAAAAATAGGAGGTAGATCCAATGATTCAGTTTTTTTAGGGTTACCCATGGAACTAGTCTGACTTGTCCCAGAGCACAGAAGGAACTTGGATATAAGGAAAGTGTATTGAACTAGTACAAAGGCTTGAGGTCCACAGAGGCTCTCTGGTAAAACTTGCTGATTGATGGAAGCTTTTCTCACAAAAGTTCAGTCAGTGAAGACTACAAAAGTTTGTTGCTTTGATCAAAGTGCAGTGAATTGAGGAAAACAATCACACAAAGGTGCTTAAAAGAAGAAACAAATCTTCAGGAATTGACCTGAATTAAACAAAGTTATATGATTTACTCAATAAGATATTAAAATTATAAAAAAGATGATCACCATCTTGACTGAGATCAGAGAACAATGCTTGAACAGATTATTAACTTCAAAAAATAGATATAAGATATAAAACTACTTAGAAACCATGTACTTCAACATAACTGAAAATATCACTACAGCAATTTAGCAGAAGACTAGAAGAGGTAAGAGAAAATATTAGAATCAAAGACAAGCCAATGGAAAAAATTTTAAAGTTTAAATGATTTTCAGGCTACAATCAAATGGATCAATATATGAATTATGGGACTATCAGAGAAAAAATAGTGAAATAAAGGACCAGAAAACTTATGCAAAGAAATTATATCTCCAGCTTCCCAAGTCTAGAAAAGAAAAAGTACATACAGACCAAACAATCCCAAAGACTAACAAAAAATGAAGTTAAAAAAAAAAACAACTACTCTAAAAAACCTTATAACAAATTGTCAAGAATACAAAAGAAATCAATAGGTAAAAAGAGCTTACTTACAACAACATATAGGCTATGAAAGACAATTGGTTTCACAGTAAAACTAAACTAAAGTAATTATAGACATTACATTGCAAAGAAGTCTAATGAAACTGTATTAAAAAGAGTGAAACTGTCTTCCTATATGACTAGGACCTAATAGTCATATCCTTTTCTGGTACTGTTCATCCATTGTGTTAAGCAGATGATTGATCTTCATTGGCCCAGTGATACAGCTGAATTAAAGCATAACTGGCAGAGTTTTAAAGGGCAGTGTGAACTGGTGGGATGAACTTATGGATTTATAGAAACTCAAAGTACACAACTGCTTTCTTCATCCCATTGACTCTACCCCATCGTACTTTTGTTAAAGAATGACCACAAATAAGATTTACTAAGTCTCTTAGTTGTCAAACAGTATAAAAATATTGAAAGCTTTCCTGTTCCTGATACAAAATATCTGATACATACAACGTAAAGGAGAAGAGGTTTAATTTGGCTTACAGTTTCAGAAGGTTCAGTCCATTGTCAAATATCAGCTGTCTCAAGGACAGAAACATCATGGTAGAAAGGCACGGTGGAGTTAAGGTGCCTAGTTCATGGCAGCTAGGAAGAAGGGCAGGGGAAAGTACCAATGAAAGACATAATTTCCAAAGGCAAATTTCCAGTAACCAGCCTCCAGCTGGGTCTCACCTCCTAAAAGCTCATTCAGCTCCAAACACCAGTAGGTTAATCCACTGATAACTACACTGCCCCCACAGTCCAATTTCCATCCCAGAAGTCTCTTACTCTATTCAAATTGACAATATGACAATTAAGCTTAAATTTAGTTGTGGAAGGAATTGGTAAATGACATGTACAGAGAAGCAGAATGGAAGTAAAATAATAAAAAGTTTATTTTGTTGACAAAAGGTTCATCTCACTAAGAGCAGTGCCAGTGATCAACTCCCACTGAGTTATAGCTCCTACTTTTATAGATTCATAGCTATGGTAGTTTATAGATATGATCTCATTCAGGTGGTTGCATTTCATTTCCTCAGTTCACATTAACCATGTACAAATTACAGTAACAAGACAGTTAACTTTAACTCAGACATAACAATTCCTTGTAGTTGGGGAGTTTACCTTAAGATTCATCTCGCTAGCTATTCTAGTGCACAAGAAGGGGGTGTTTGAGATCAGGGATGAGGCCAGATGTCCCATTTTATGGTCAAAGCATCTGGTGTATGTTAACTTTGAACTAAACAAAGCAGATTGCTGTTAGACACAGCAGAAGTCATTTTACATTTTCCTAACATTTTGTAGGTTTTAGATTATTTACAAAAGTTATCTTATCAATTTCACAGTAGAACTACATAACCGTGGATTGGGCATTTTCTACATTCCAGATATTGATCTGACTGAGACATTTTGGGTAACAAAAATCATAATTATTATAGCATCTATCCCTCACAGGACAAACTGCTGATCTTTTTAGAAACAATACAGTTAATCTGCTCCAAATGTCTGGTTCAACTTCTTTACATATGGTGTTATATTGAAGATGGTCTTCTTGTCCACATTCAAAAGTTGATTGCCTTGGCAAATGGATTTACATCATGTTGGGTCCCAACATAATCTACAACTTGTCTACTGATGGTCTTTCCATTCATGTGACTGTCATATCAAATACAGAATAACTAATGATGAAGTCTGGTTAAATTCAATTAATTCTGTGATTCTGTCTACTTTGTCACTCAATACATCTTCCAAATGATGTGTAATCTCATTACAACCATATGCAAAGAAGTTCATTTGTAAATTAGCTTAAGCTTGTAAAATGAATATAATTTTAGCATAGAAAAATTATATATACAGTAAAATAATAATAAAAATGCCTTATAGAAGTCTATTTTATATATGAGAGTATCATAATTTAATCATTTAATGACTGTTAATACAGGCATGATAAACTATCTCCTGTTCTCAGGCTTATCATGACTAAATTGTACCATAACTATAGTCCTGCATTCACCTAAGATTTAAGGCAATGTTGTCAATTGTTTCAGTAGTCTGATGCAATGTATTAAGATGAATTTGGTATTTATGTATATATTTCAGTACTGGTAAGACCCAAACACATGCTTCACCTTGGCTACTGTTTATTTCACAAAAGAACTAGTTATTTGGATATAAGTTTTACAGTTTCCTAAGTGGTCTTACATAGGAATTATAAATTATATCTATCTGGTCAAGGTACACAGACATATAAAGCAAAATGTGATTATATGCTCTGGGAAATGATACATTTTACAGTTTTACATTAAGAAACAGTTTTTTATTGGGTATAATATGGACAAGTGGGTCCTTCCCAGGCTCTTACTGTCCTGTTGAAAGAACTGGACTGAGTAATTGATGAATGTGAAAGTTTAATGTTTAACGCTTTTGTAGTCAGGGTTTGCAATATAACAGATACAATACAGGACACATCATTTATTTTATAATATTCATCCAAAAAGTCAAATGCAGAAAAGTTCAAGAGATCTTTCCACACACCAGAGACCTGAAGAATCCAGCCAAGGGCCTGGATCCCATGGCAATGTCCCACACCATTCCAGCTGAAGGCCAAGAGCCCACAGCAATGTCTCAGTCTAGTCCATATCAAGGATCTGCACTGAGAAGTCCTAAAGGCCAGCAGTGGAAGCTAGAAATCATTACCATTCATTGCTTTTAAAATTAGGAACTGGCACAGAGAAAGTAAATAATTTACTGAAAGCCAGAAAACATACATAAAATGTAGCATTTAAGTCAGGAAGTCTGATTCCATAATTTTGTCATTATATTTATATTGACTTTAATATTAGAGCCAGCAACTTTGATGTATTCTTTACTAATCTAATAATTGTTAATCTTTGTGGATTTTCTTTGAGATAATTACATTTCAGGCTAATAATGAATTCTTCCTTTTCTTTTCACACTTTGTATTTTTTTTTCTTCTCTTGTGGTGATATCTAATGGCTCCATTACAATATTAAGTAAAAGTGGTAAAAACAGATTTTCTTGGCTCATTCTAAATTTTAAATGTCTTGTTTTTTCATGAAAGTTTATTTCTACTCATTGCTTGCTAAGAATTTGTATTTAAAGCATGAGTCCCTATTGATTTGTTAGTGTGTGCATGTTCAAAAACTACATATTGAGGAACTATCTTGGGAAAATATTAGTACACAAAACAAAATATGTATGATGCATAAGTTATTATTCAATTATTTTTTCATGTGCTAGATAGCTATGAGTACCACAGTCTATAAATGAGTTCAGTAAGGTCAAGAGAGCAGTGTCCACTGAGGAAGGAAAATTGGAAAACCTCATTAACAAAGGTAGAAGGACTGGTAGGAGCTGAAGGAGTGAGCCACACAGCTCACTTAGGTATACAGGAGAAGGGAATCCTAGGCACTGAACAGCTGGGGCAAAGGCTCTGACCCAGTGGCAAGGAGTAGGGAGGAAACAAGCATGTTGCAAAGACATGAGTAAGGGTAAGGTGGATTGATTGGACATGAAGCAGAAAGACTTTCAGGGTATGTAACATTCTTTTTTCTATTTCTTAGACTGGATAATTTCATTTGATATATCTTCTTCATGTTTTTCTGGGATATTTTCCCTTCAGCTCAGATTTTCTATTGACTCACTTTAGTAAATTTTATATTTCAGCTACTATATTTTATTTTCAGATGCCATAATCCCTTTTTTTCCTTATTATAATTTGTGTGGCTTTATTGAAACTTTCTATTTGGTGAAATACCAAACACCAGAGTTGCTTTATAATTCTGAGCATATTTAAGATTGTTGATGTGAAATCTTTCCACAGCAAATCTAATATCTGTGCTTTCTCAGAGAAAATTTCTCTTAATTTCTCCCAATAATGGATCATTCTTAACTTTTTCTTGAAAAAGACATTTTGAGGGAGGGATGGAGGGAAAGGGGGAAAAAAGTTGAGGTAGGACAAGTGATATTCCAAAGGTGTTTGTAGATAGGCTCAGGCTGGAGGCACATCTTTAATTGCTCAGCCAAGCTATTTACAACTCTGACTTACCCTTCACTTTCTGCTTTCTCTGGAGCTATAGACCAACCCACAGTGAAAGCATAAGGTCTTTCAAACTCT